AGCGACTGCTGCACTGAGTAATGAATGTATTTCATATCTCATCATGCAGACGAGCCAACGCCCCTCTGCTTTTCTTTTCCCTGCTCTCTGTTTTAATCAAGCATCCCCCCCTGTCCATGCCTGCCTGCTCAGCATCCCTCCCCCCCTCCATCCCTCCTCCTGGGCCACCGTAATGTATTTTTAGCCTCCTGTTTCTAATCTTAGCTGCAGCTCAGGAGGAAACCAAGCAGCGGCGTGTGATGCGGGGGCGTGATAAGTGTCGGCGTGTGCAGTCTGAGCTGGAGTTTGCATCATGCATGTGCGATCGAGTCGGGCTGTTTGCACAAATGAGACGACATGCGAGTGGATGCACGTCGCAAGCTTGTTTGCGTGCAGAGTGTTGCACTGTAAAAAAAAAGAAATTCAGTAGAATAAACAGTGAGAATGTGGCAGCACGGTGCCAGAAAATATATACTTTAATGTTCAAAAGCTGCAAAAAGAATGAAAATAAAAGCAAATATCTGTAAAGTAATGACATTTTCAGTAGATTTGTAAATACATAAAACTACAGCGAGACTGTAATTTTATGGTCTATTTGTAAAAACACAGATTTTTGATGCAGATATATTTACAGGTTTTATGTGTGTGTGTGTTAATGTGTTTTCTACATGTAAATTGCCTTTCAAATAACGTAAAATATCTGTAAGATAATTATATTTTTAGCTGATTTAAATACAGTAACACTGTAGTTATATCGTCATACACTGTAAAAGAAAAGATTACTATTTGTAAAAATACAGATTTTTGATGGAGTTGTTATTCACAGATTTAGCCTTTTGTTGTTGCTTTTACAATTACATTCATTATGCAAATTAATCGTTTTTTTTTCCTGTGATTTTTATTAGATATTATTTGGAATTGAACAAAACTGGGGAAATTTATAAAATAATTGTTGAAAAATTGTTTAGTATTTTGTAGTTCTTAATAAAAATATTTTTTCTTCCAAATAACACAAAATCTCTAAAATAATGATATTTTGTAGCTAATTTAAATACAGTAAGACAGTGTAAATTATGGTCACACATTGTTAAAGGAAAGATTAGTCAAAATACAAATGTCTGATGTGCACAACATTTATAGTTTTAAACTGCATGTTTTCTTTTTACAATTATCGTTTTTTAATTTAAATAACAGCAAATACATTGAATATTTATATTTTTAGATCATTTAACTAATGTAATTTAAATAATGTAATTTTCCTATTAGTTTCTTATTCTTTTTCACTGTCAACATTTATTTGTTGTAATTTCAGTAAACATATATGATCCACAATTTTAGAGAATGTCTAAAATCTAAAACAACAGTTTGAGAGATTTTCTGTTTTTCTGTCCTTAACACACAAAAAATTTCTTCCAAAAACCAGCAAAAATGTGTGAAATAATAACATTTTTAGTTGATTTAAAGACAGCGAAACGGTGTAACTTCACGTCCACATATTGTAAAAACAAAAACAAAAAACATGCAACACTATTTGTGTTTGATTTGGTTTTAGTCCGTTTTTTTATGGATGTTTTTTTCTTTTTTAATAGTCAACACGTAAATTTGAATATTGAATTTCCCTTCTGGGATAAATAAACTATTTTTCATTCATTTCAAATTAATTGTTTTTTGTGAGTTTACTAGATATTATTTCTAATTTAAGAACTTAAAGTACGATCAGGAACTGCAGATGCTTTTTACAGTGTAGTTTGTGTCGCCATGTGCTGCTACATGTGTCAGCAGAGACTTGAACAGCGGAGTACGAAGCTCTGTTGTGCAGCTTCATGCAGCTCGCTGCACATCTCGACTGGCTGCACATCGCATTGTTTGGCTCGTGGCTGTGGGGTCATGACAGTCGGTGAATCAGCAGGAAGGACGCTGGAAACACAAGCAACACTTACAGCATTGATCCTCTGCTTTTTCCGCAGTTTGACCTCCACGAGAGCTGTCCTTTCTCGTCTTTTTTATCATGTCTCTCAATGTTTTGCAGTATTTCTATCTGCCGCTGGAACGATTAATCAATCAGCTGTCAGCTAAGAAATAGGTCGGCAACTAGTTTGAGTTTGAAAAACAGTCAACACGTTAATATTATCTGGTCTCTTTCCTCTTTTTTATGACAGCAAACTGAGTATCTTTGGACAAAACAAAACATTTGAGGAGTTTTTGTCAGTATTAACACGCAACAGAGCGAGGAAATGTCTTTAGTTGTCTAAAACTAAATGGTATTCCATTTGCAGCAAAGAAAAGCATAAAATCCTCAAGCGTACAGAGCTGGACACCAGAAGTGTTCAGAAAATGGATAAAGCCAGTAGCTGCTGGTCGGTTGCAGCTCTGATATAATATCCATATGTTCTGTTATAATGCAAATAATCAATTAGCTGCCGACTATGACATTGATCATCTGCTTCTCTGATAAATGATTCATCAGTTTGGGTAACTTTTAAACTGAAAAATGTCTCAATTCTCTGTTTGTCGCTTCTTAAACGAGGATATTTTCTGCTTGCGTTCCTCCTCTGTGGCAGTAAACTGAACGTCTTTGGAGAAAACAAGACATTTGAGGAATTTTTGTCTGTTTTTAAACCCCCGGGGCGACGCCTTCAGGAGTCCAAAACTAAAAGACGTTGAGTTAATGACAAAGAAAATCAACAATTCATCAAGCGATAATTTAACAGTTGACAACTAATTAATTAGTTGCTACAGCTCTACTAACAAAATGTCTTGTTTGGCCCAAAGGTATTCAGTTTACTGTCATAAAGGAGGAAAGAAGCCAGAAAATATTCACATTTAAGAAGCTATAATCAGAGGATTGAGATCAATTACTTGTTGCAGCTCTAATAATGAGTGAACACATTTCTACAATTCTCTCACTGCAGAATCGTGTATTGTCATTGTGGGCTTTGGAAAAAACCTGGCAGATATTCCTCATACTTTGAAACACGAGATACAAGCAGCGTTTCTTATTACATTTCTCGTCACGTGGCCTTTTTCTTTTTTTCGTCTGTTGCTATGAACATGCAGCTCCGTCCTTTGAGACTGCTCCTTCAAGTATTTGTTTAGAGGGTGCTCGATTTCTGCAGGCTTCTTTCCTCCAGCCGTCTCAACTTGCAAACACATGCAAATAGACTCTCCTGGGCTGCTGGTACCAGAAGGGCTTTTGCATAGATAACCAGGACGGACATCTGCAGCCCAGACCTGAGATTGTGCGTCGAGCGGTGAGCCTTCCTCTGCAGACTCACACTGACATGTGCACACATTTGCACTCGGCTCACACTCTGCAGTAAGAGCCCCGGAGAAACCACTGCAGTGAAAAAGGAGAGAAAATGAGCTTCCCCTCCTCCCCTCCTTCTTCTCCTTCTTCTTCTTCTCTCTTCTGGTGGAGCTATTTATATCAAGCAGGATCCAATCTTAGCTCGGCAGATGGGGGGGGGCAGCCAGGCAGGGAGACCCGTGCTTCCCCTCTGCTCTATTTTTAGCAGCAGGACGGCTTCAAACAGCAGCACTAAGCTATTCTGGTCCCTGCTGCTGCTGCTGCTGCTGCTGCTGCTGCACCAAGCAAAGGCACAGTCAGAGAGCTGGAGGCAGATGTTGGAGGAGAACTTAAAAGCTCAGATTGTGGCGTGTGCACACATGTGTGTAGTTTCAAGCAGCAGGATAGAGGTCATACTAAGATTTATTTATTTACTTTCATGAAACCGTCTTAAGCTGAGCGTCTCCTCAGGCCAACTCCATATAAATGAGCATTTTTGATTTGCACTGTAAAATATGAATGTTTCAACAGTCTTTAACTGTATTTAAAATAAATAAATAAATAAATAAATATTGTTATTTGATAGATTTTCCCAGTTTTGGTAAATGACACATAATAGCTTCTAAAATCACACAAAAAAAATCCAACAACATTTT